GTATCTACTTTATGCTCTGCCATATTTGTAGGTCCCAAATCCTCAGAATCTCTAGAGAAAGAACCCTGATACTCTACAAGTAAATATTTCAATTGCTCTTTTTCAATTTCTGTTATCCCAAAACTTGACTTCCCATACTATTAGTTACACAGTCAGTTAGTGACCTAATACGGATTCATACAGGGTGTGAAATGGAAATCCGTATTGGGCGAGGCGAAGCCGAGTCCCAATATGGATTTCCATTTCACACCCTGTATGAATCCGTATTAGGTCACTACCTGACTGTGTAACGAATTTATCCCGCTGAAGACCTTTTTCAATATATAAAAAAAATTGTGCATATTATGAAAATATTAGTTTTAATCCAATAACAATCAACATAAAATATCGTTACGGTAACAAGAAATTTAACTTAACTACCTACGTTAACCGTTTCTTAGCCGCCATTTTTATTTACAATAACAACGCTTCGAACGGAATCGCGTGCCCGATTTTCATATTATGCCTCGACGGAGACGTAATATGGAAACGGAGACGTAATACGGAAAATTTCAGGGCGTCATGTGATCAGCTTTTATCCAATCAGCAATCTACAAATTTGTCTGAAGCGGGATAAAGGTTTTTATATGGTAATTTAGTGGGGTATCTACTAAGCTGATTTCTGATGAATTTAAACTATCATCTCTTAACATGGAGACTTTCTTAATTTCTTTCATAAGACTATTTTTATGGAGTTGCATTTCCCTTTCTGACATTCATGAATTTTAATGGGATTATCCCAGATGTGGGGTTAACAAGTGTCCTAGCCACTAACACTTCATGTTTACCCATAAATTCTATACTTGGCTCTACCAGTACCACATCCCATTTAGGAATAGAATAAAATTCTACCATGGGCAATAAACTCTGAGTTGGGAGGTACTTTCACGTCCTCCATTAATGCAACTCTAAATGAACAATCTACCTCATCACTACTAAATCTAAAACACGGAATTTCTTGACCCTTAACACGTAAACTCATCTTTTGAACTAATATATCATATGAATGTTCAGTCAAACCTAAGACATTAGCTACTATCACTTTGTGGGTGATTTCATTTTTCCCTATTTCAAAATGGACATTTCCCACTATTTGGTATTGTGTCCCTAGCAGAGACTAGTTTCACATCATAGAGTTCTAAAGAAGGAACTTTCCCCTAAAAACATTTCTCTAAAATTTGGGTGCTATTAATGGTAACATCCGACCCAGAATCTACTAAAAAGCTACATTTTTCCCATTGATTTGTGTGGGAACAAAAATACCCGACTCAATTTCGCTTGCATTATGAACAATCACTTTGGTAGCTTGAGAAAGGGTTTCTTATGGGACGATTTTTCTCCCTTATTCCTCTCAACTTTTTCATTCCCATCTCCCTCATTCTAGGTCAAAAAAGTATTATTAACATTTTTTTTCACCTACTTTCATTTTCCGGGGTTTAATTTCAGTTACTCCTCCCCCTGAAGTCTGCCAATTTCCGACCCGCGAAGTCGACAGGGGACTGTTTCCCTATTGTCTCTCTGAGTTCGAATTATTTCCCTTTTTGGAACCTTGATTTAAGGTGCTCCCGTGTACGATTTGTTTCTCTTTCTATAGTCAAGCTAGGTTTACAAGTACATTACACGCAAGAATGAATACTGAGTAGATTTTGAGAACTTAACGGCATTTTGTTGCCCCTGTAATAAATCGATTTCACTTTGAAAGGCAATGTCCAATGCAACTGGTCACGATGTCTATTTTGAATTATTTAAAAATTTCAAAGCCAACTAAAAAACGGGGGATGGGGTGTATTCCTAATCCCGAGCATACGCCAGAAAAATGGACTTTTAATAGAAAATTTAAGCGATATTGTTGAAGAAGAGTACCAAAAATATCTGGAGACATGAAAAAGAGGATCTTAATTATCAGCATTACACTCCAGAACAAAAAGCGAAAATATGAAGATACGCAATAGATTATGGCCCAGCGAAAGCGGCAAAATATTTCTCAGAAAAAATGGGTGTAAATATAAATAAAAGCTCGATTAGAACAATTCGCTTACAATATTTATCAAGACAGAGACTTTCTACGGAGCCTTTGAAAGAAGTGTTCCCAAAAAAACGAGGTCGATCAAAATTAATTGGTGATGAATTGGATCAAACTATGATTATAAAAAAAAGATATGAGAGAAGCGGGTGGTGTTATTAATACCAATATTGTACAAAATGTGGGGAAAGGTGTAATTCTGACCTAATTGCTATAGTTTCGGTTTTATTTATATCCCTAGGTCGGTCCTCCCTAAGGCGCATCCCAATGTCGGGATCTGGCAAAGCGTCTATAAATAAGTCCAATGCTAATACATTAGTGAGACTGGGCTCAGCGCTGGGATAGGCTAGTCCGCTATTTTTATTGCCTGGGATAGTTCAGAAGTGCTCTCATTTTGACCCCTCACCCGGGTTTTTAATTGTGCTCTAAACATTTCAGATCTTTCTGTTGTCCCAAATCTTCTTTTCAAAGCTGTTATCAGGGTATTATAATCCCTTCTCTAACTTCATCTCTCCCAACAAACTACATGCACCTTTAGCTAAATGACCCGCTAACTGTAAAGATTTGATTCATAATCCCAATTATTAAGGTCGGCGACTCTCAAACTGGGAGATTGATTGATTGTTATTGTTTAAGGCCGGATCGGCAATATTTCAGCAATATTTCGCCGGTTAAATTGTTTGAAAAGATAATTTGGGTTTTTCTGGCGGTCCCCAGTGAGCCTACTCTTTTTCTAAAACCAGTAAAACGGTCTTTTACGTGCCGAGGGGGTTGTTATCTGGAGTACTAAATCTGTTCATATTGAGTACATTAGCTATCGAGACCGGGACACAGGTGCTTGAGGACAGGATCCCCCTTTCCGAAATAGACGGCCTTTTCGATTTTTACGACCCGCCATGAATATTGCCGGGCTTATAGTGTTTGTCATGTCCGTCTTCCGTCCTTCCGTCACACTTTGCGTTTAGCTTAGTTCAAAGCTCAATTTCACAGAAACTATCCAAGATATTTTCATCCAACTTCATATGATGATAGATATTGTTAATAGATCTTGATGAGAGCTATGTAAGTATATCAGCATTTCTTTTTTTACTTTGACCTTCCTTTGTCCTTGACCTCACTTTTCTTAAATTAGTCTTTAGCTCAGTTTTAAACTTACCATGCATGATGGTGTTATTAAAGTTCACATGTTGATACAAACTGATGAGAGCTATACGACTGCATCACCATTTTAGTTCTACTGGTCAGAGACCAGAAGAGGTTACGCGATAGTAATGCGTCCGGCGTCCGTCCGTCTCCCTGTCTGTAAACAATTTTTCAAAATGCTACTCCTCCTACAGTTTTCGTCTGATTTCAATACAACATGGCACACAAGAAGACTACACTAAGAAAAATAATTATATGTATTGGTTTTTGAGTTGCCGTGGTTAATAAAAATAGAAATTTCTGTGAAATTGTTTCAAAACGCTACTCCTCCTACAGTTTTGGCCCTATTCCAATATAACTCGGCACACAAGTAGACTACACTAAGATACATAATTCTGTACAAATCTACAGCTTCAATATAGATTCTTAATAACATATTTTAAAGATATTGGATGACACCATATCTATTCATAGAATGGGGTGTTATCTTATGGATCTTTGTTTACTTGTGTTGTTCATTCCAGAGATTAAAGAGTCAAGATATATCTCAAAAGCAGATATCGTCATCTACAAAAAACAACTGCTGATTGGTCGAACAGTGTCCATTGACTCCAATCACAATTTGAGAAAAAAAATCCCAATTTTTTTTAACACCGTATGCCAAGGGTTCATGAGGAGAGAAGCGTATCAGAAACCCTTGGCTAGCGAAGAAGAGATGTTCGTATATCAATTCAAAATAAGGATTCTATCTTTGAAAAAAGTACATTTTTATGTTATGTTTCAGGATTCAAAGTCAAAAATTCTAAAATTCGACTACAGCTGGATTGAAAAAGTTGAAAAGCAAGAAAGACTCATGACGGTATATTTATTGAGCAAATCTAGAAATTATAAATCGTGCGCAACAACAAAGTTACACAGAAAACTCTGGCAAGACTAACATGTCGTTCACAATAGATTTCCTGTTATATATATGTATTTTTATTTTACTTGAATTTCACTACGCATTTAAATTACCCGCGTGGAGCAGAGGTTAGAGCGCCTGCTCTAGAGTCGCGAAATAAGGAGTTAGTTTAAACCATATTTTATTTGAACATGACAAGCAAGAAATACAGGCAAGAAGTACAAAGATCAAAAAGGATTCGGAAAGAAGTTTCAAAAACTTGTACTAATCCGTTTCCTTATTATCTATGATAAAAATGACAGACACTTATTAGGTAGTTACATAACACGGGTTTAAGCTGCATTACAACAATATTTGAGATTGACATAGGGGCAATTGGGGTAAGTGGACATATTAAGGGTTTAATTGGAGTCTGAGAAGTTTTAACCTAAACCAATCTTTCTTGTATTATACTAAACTCATAGTTCACTCTTATCTCTTAGTAGTGTAAAATATTTTTAAACTTAATGCAGATGGTTTGAAGAATATGAGCTTCGAAGTTTAAATTTAAAAAGTGTTCACTTACCCCATAGATATGGGGTAAATGGTCAATTTTGAAAAAAAGTGAAAATAAAGTACTCATTATCTTTAAGTATGAAATTAGTCACCTTTTTATACTGAATTATGTACAAAAAAGTTAAAATTAGTTAATTTATTTTTAATTTTCTTCCCAATAGAAATTATTTAATTTTAGGCCTCATGAAATTAATCACTGTTTGTTATAGATCTTTACTTTTTCATTTCTGAAAAGTATGACTTTTTCATTTCTGAAAAGTATGAAATGCATATTTTTTTCTCTAAATTTAATGGCATAAAATCATTGATATAATTCAATAGCTTAAACACCCAATTTTTTAAAGTAATTAACACAAGTTACAAACATTTTGCAACACATGAGAAAGTGGAACATCAAATTAAAGAGGAAAAAAAATTATCAGTGCTTGTCACATACAAAATGTTCTAACTGGCGACCATACTTCCCAGTGCAGGATTCGTGGTACCAGTCATCACACACTGTACACTTTATCCAGTCCTCGTCATCAGAGTCCTCGTCATAATAGTACCCCTCGCAGTAGGAGCAGCAGTTTTCAGTAACTTCACTAGTAGCAGTATGAGAAGGGGTGTTCTCCTTTGCAGAGACTTTTGATTTTGTCTTCTTTGACTTAAGCTGCTTCTTCAATTTCTCCATATCTTTCTTTTGTTTCTTTTCCTCACGCTCTTTTTTTCTGATTTCCTTTTCCTTCTGATCCTTTTCTCTTTTTTCCTCCTTCTGTCTGATTTCATTGATGAATTCATTTTCTGTTATACATCTTGCACCAAGCACTTTTTTAGTTTTTCTTTCAGCAGGTTCTTTGACAACTGTTGGAAGTTGAAGTGATCTTGTAATATCTTCTGAGACTGACGAGGAGCTCTGTGGAACCTGGGCTGGCTGACCAGTGGATACCAGTACTGTGATGTTTTCAGCTGATGCAACTTCTCCCTCACTGGTTGTGCTGGTGACTGAAGCTAAGACAGAAGTTTTTGATGGCCCAAATGCCTCTGCAGGAATAGCAAGGGGGTTGAAGGGGAAAATTCCGGTGGCTCTAAAACCTCCAAAGATATTTACCATGTTCATTTTCTCGTTATATGCATGTGAGAAAATGCCGCAAAAGTCATATCTGGAAATTTGTCTGCCAGGATTTGATTTTAAAAACAATTCGCATTGCTTGTAGTATGCCTTCTTTAAGGGCCCAAAAACACTTCTGTCTAGTGGTTGTGTCCAATGTGTTGTGTGAGGCGGTAAGCAGAATATTTCTACGTCATTGGCCTTCGCTGCTTCGAAAAGATGAAGTGTGATATGAGATGCATGGCCATCCACTATCAGTAACACTGGTCTTTGAGGTGAGAGGTTCTTCAAGAAAATCTTTTCAAACCACATTCCAAAGAGTTCTCCATCAATAAATGAACTTTTACTGCATGCAAACAGTGTGTTCTTTGGGGCACTGCTCATTAAAGCTTGACTGATTCTTTTTCCTTTGAAAATCACCATAGGTGGCAAAACATGGGCCTCAGCATTTACACAACACAAAACTGTGATGTTTTCACCCCTCTCTCCACTTGTTTTGGCATGAATGGCTTTCTTCCCCTTCCTCCCCACAATTTTGATGTCTGATGAACTGTACTGAATCCTGTTTCATCTGCATTAAATATTTGCTGGGGCTTTGACTTTATATTGAGTTTATCCATCAGATTCCCTAACTTAGTAAAGTGGTCTGAAATTACATTTGGATTTAGCATAGTACTACGAGCAGCACTCAGACCTTCAGGCTTGCGGAGAGATAAGCATGGGTGCCGATCTCGAAATCCCTGCCACCAGTCATATCCTGCCATTTTCTTTTCTTGATTAAATGGATTTTTTCTTCCGGACTGCGCAATTACTGAATATGCAAGCTTACACACATCTGATATTGTCAAACCAAACCCGCGTTCCTCCATTTCCAAAATGTGACCAACAAGAGTGTTTTCTTCTTCTTTAGACAGAATGGTTGGTTTTGATGCTGGAGACTCCAAATCCATTGTTAAAAGTCTCCTCGACAGGGTTGTTCTTGGAATGCCAAATACTTTAGAAGCTTTAAACTTGGTCATTTTCCCTGTTTTAACACACTGAACAGCGTTACTCAAAGATTTTCTGTCCCATTTCCCTTGCTTGGGTTCCCAGTCTTTTTTCTTTCTAGCCATTCTCCAGTGTTTTCCGTTTCTGAAATTAATACAAAAAGTTTTAAGTATTACATAAATACAAACAATCTCCATGCGGCCATGCCTGATGAAGAAAATCTTTAAATACCATTTGAGATACCTTTTGCTTTTGTTCTATATTTTTGATGTACATTGTAATTATTCAAATTTTAGAGAAATATAATTTATGTTTCATTTATATTCATGATTAGAAATTTAAATTTAACTTTTAAAACATAAAACTAAGATTAAATATGCTGATTCAATTCAAATTAAATATCTAAAGATTCAATCTAAGACTGCTGTTCAAATAACTTGTCTCGATTTTTACACTTTCCACTTACACTAACAAACTGGGGTAAGTGGTCACAATTGATATTTTAACAATTTTAAATTTATTTTATAAATTATTTTACAAAACAAATATTTCTGTTTGAAATTTATTAATTTTCAAAATTATTTTATCATCCATTACATTCATTTTTGTTGAATAATGCTTTGAAATTTTGTAACAAACAATGAAGGATATATAGAATATTTCCCCTATATCACGTGACCTTTCTAAAGACTAAATGTAAAAAAAGAAAGTTGACATTTTTGAACAACAAAACATAATTGTGTGTAAATTATTATAATATTTGAAAAGCTAGAGTCTATTTTTGTAAATATTAATGCCTATCATGGATTGGACGTCAGTATTTAAATAGCAAGTCACTTGCTTTCATTCATGTTTGTTTGTACATATTTTGCAAATGGTAGCCATTTCTTATGTGAAAATTAAATATTGTTTACAGGAGTTAAGTGATAAAAATAATATAACCTGCGAATATACATCAGTGTTAACACTCTAGACTCAAAACCGACAATTCATTTGATAGATATAAAACAAAATCTTTTATCTAAAGACAAACAGGTTTTATTTAAATGATAATTGATTTCTGCAGTATTTATCAAAATACTAAGAAAATGGCTGCGTGCAAATTTACTTACGGATCAAGTCACTGTTTTCTGCTTTCCCAATCAAAGACGCTGACCTTGAAATTTCCCAGTCTTCGATGTTTACACATTTGCTTCCTCCTTTAGAATGAGAGCTGAACAGGTTTGATAACTCTTGCTTGCTTTAATTTTTAACGCAATATTTTAAAAGGTGTCCACATACCCCAGGTGTCCACTTACCCCAGTTGCCCCTACATATTGAGTATGAAATCATGTTACACATGAATGACGTTCTAATTACTAGTATACAGAAGAAATCTGGTAGATGAACAATGTATGGGAAGAAAAAAGCCAATAGAAAGTGGTTGAATTAACAAAGAAGACAATTAAAGAATAATTACAGGAGCAGTAACAAATATAAATAACAATAAAAGAATTGGGAAATAATGAACAAAAACAAATCTGTGAGCCAATGCTCACTAGTAATAACCCCGCTCTAATGTAAATAAACACTATCATGTTAATATACACAAGTTCAATAACAGGCAGATGCACAGAAAAATTCATATAAAATTCATATCAAAATGAAAGAAAAAGTGAGCAAGCTCACATACCCCACGCTCCCCCAAAACTCAAAGTGCTGAAAATCTCGGAAAAAATAAAAGAATCGGAATTTCTCGGTAATATGCACATCTACAAATTGTGTCCTAAATATCTGCAAAGTTTGATGAAATTCTGTACAGCGGTTTATGAGGAGTTGCGCTGACAAACTGTTCATATCTATATTTAAGGTATGGCCAAATGCCTACGTTAAAAAGTGCGGAAATTCCCGGAAAAAATAATGGAATCGGAATTTCCTGGTAATATGCACATCTACACATTGTGTCCTCAATACCTGCAAAGTTTGACGAAATTCTGTGCAGCGGTTTATGAGGAGTTGCGCTGACAAACTATTCATCTCTACATAAAAGGTATGGCCAAAACCTAAGTTTTTGTTGCGAAATTCCCGGAAAAAATAAAGGAATCGGAATTTCTTGGTAACATGCACATCTACACATTGTGTCCTAAATACCTGCAAAGTTTGACGAAATTCTGTGCAGCGGTTTATGAGGAGTTGCGCTGACAAACTGTTCATCTCTATATTCAAGGTATAGTTAAAAAGTGCGGAAATTCCCAGAAAAAATAATGAAATCGGATTTTCCTGGTAATATGCACATCTACACATTGTGTATAAATACCTGCAAAGTTTGACGAAATTCTGTGCAGCGGTTTATGAGGAGTTGCGCTGACAAACTGTTCATCTCTATATTCAAGGTATGGCCAAATGCCCAAGTTAAAAAGTGCGGAAATTCCCGGAAAAAATAATGGAATCGGAATTTCCTGGTAATATGCACATCTACACATTGTGTCCTAAATACATGCAAAGTTTGACGAAATTCTGTGCAGCGGTTTATGAGGAGTTGCGCTGACAAAAAAAAGGACTGACTGACACTGACGGACGGGTCAAAAACATTATACCTCACGCAACTAGTTGCGTGGGGTATAATTAATCCCACCATATGGCATGTCTTAACAAAGAGTGTACTTAAATTTCAAGCATCTGCTTTCAAATAGTTAATGAGAATACTGTGACGAAAATTTGTGTATGAAACAGACGCACAGACAAACAGGAAGTTGACATCGGATTTAAACAAAAATGTATCCCACCATATGACATGCCTCAGGGAAGATTGTATTTAAATTTCAAGAATCTGTAATCATAATGAGTAGTTGCTGAGAAAACTGCGATGAAAATTTGTTATGTATGAAACGGACAGACAAACAGGAAGTTGATTTGAACAAAAATGTATCCAACCGTATTGCATGCCTCCGAGAAGATTGTGTGAAAATCTCAACTTCAAGTAGTTGCTGAGGAAACGGCGACGTAAATTTTGTTACAGACAGACAAACACACAAGGGTAAAACGGTATATCCCCCTCTCCATGAAGGGAGAGGGATATTAAAAATGAATGACGCTTGCTACATGCAGTTGACAGAATGTACACAAGAACATACCCACGGAAGTCTGAGTAGTGAATATTTACTATGGGAAAACTGATTACAAGCAGTTGATCCTTACGTCGCGGGTTCGAATCCCACTACGGGACGTGGAGACCGGTCCTTCGGATGAGACCGTATACATGTGAACCGAGGTCCCGTGACGCAGTAGGAGCTGGCACGAAAAAGATCCCTCCCTGCTCAATGGCACTCAGGGAAATTGATCAAGGAGGGAACACCAAGGGCCAGTGTTTCATTAGGTGCTGGCACGAAAAAAGATATCTCCCTGCTCAATGGCACTCAGGGCCATCGAGAAGGGAGGAAGTACCTACTGCGTATAGCTAATGCTGTTTTATCTCGAGTGATTTTTAATGTGAAAAACTTCCTTGAAAGAGTACAAATGCGATTTTTAACAATAAAATAGGTATTTTATGTAAACAAGAGGCCCATGGGCCTTATAGGTCACCTGAGCATCATGCAACAACTTTCAAATGATTGAATTTGGTTCATGTTTTTAGCTAGATGCTATGGCATTCACAATTTTTAAAGAGGCACCATTGCTAATCATAACTATACACTTAGCAAATGTTTAGTTTGTTAACTTTACCCATAAGCAGGGTAAGGGAACAAAAATGCATGTCAACTAATCAGTAATATTCAGCAATAATCAGGAGTGCCTCTACCACAAATGAACCCCTGACCCTAGGTCTACTCATTGCACAATTTTTGGAAAGGCACACTTGCTTATCAAAAATGTTTGATTAATACCAAGGAGCAGATTTCCAACAATTCATTTTTAGTATATAAGTAGAGCCCCCCCCCTCCCTCTTTGGTATCCCTAACCCAGGGGCCTTGAAATTAACAATTCTGGAAGAAAAGCCCTTTCACATCATAACCATATAAATAGTTCATCTGCTTATTACCCAGGAGTAGAGAAAAAGATTTTTATAGATGTAATGTATTTTCACTATATACTCATTATAGAGCCACACTTATAGAGCCACACCAGAATCCCTGACCCAGGGGCCGTAAAATTCACAATTTTTGTAGAGACACTCTTGCTCATCATAATTATGTACTTAATTAGTTTATTTAATACTCAGGAACAGAGAAGAAGATTTTCAAAGAAATAATGCATTTTCACTATATACTGTATATACTCGCCTATAAGTCGGAAGTTAAAAGATTTTCTTAAAGAAATATGTTGGTATTTTAGAAGGTCAATATTTGAAAAATCACTATATACGAGTATATACGGTAACAGAGCCCCGCTCTAACACCAGAATCCCTGACCCTTGGGCAATAAAATTCACAATTTTGGTAGAGGGACTCTTGCTCATCATAACTATGAACTTAATTAGTTTATTTAATACTCAGGAGCAGAGAAGAAGATTTTCAGAGAATTAATGCATTTTCACTATATAATCAATAGAGCCCCGCCCTAACACCAGAACCCCTGACCCTGGGGTCATGAATTTCACAATTTTGGTAGAGGACTCAGTGCTGATTACAATCATACCAACAGTTCGACTGCTTAACGTCCAGGAGTAAAGAAGAAGATTTTTAAAGATTGCACTGATTTTAGTGGTTTTTGCTCCATCCCCCAGGCCCCAGGGGAAAGGGACCATAAAATTCACAATTTTTGTTCCCCTTCACTCATAGATGCTACAGGTGTATATGCCAAAATTGGTTGAAATTGGTTCAGCGGTTTCAGATAAGAAGCTGAAAATGTTCAAATGTTAACGGACGACGGACGAAAACAGATAGCAATAGGTCACCTGAGTTTACTCAGGTGACCTAAAAACATTTAAAAGAAAAATTTGTAAATATAGAAAATTTAACTATGCATAGAGGTGCCACAACAAAAGAGGAAGACATTTTTATGGTGTAAAAATAGCAACAAATGATAATATTTTTACTGCTTGTTTGAAAGAAGTAAGTGACGGCAAGGCTGATACTTACGTTCAAACTACTTTAAATATTTTACATGAAATAACTGATGGTCAGTCTTGTGATATTTTAAATAAGATTTCCAGTTTTATGATTTCAAAATCACCTAAAAATTACTAAAGAGCGTCAAGAGAATGTTAAAGCC